GTCTAGATATCTTCTACAGCAGGGGTTCTAAACCTTTTCCACACTGCCACAAAAAACTCATCATATGGACATACATGGGGACTCCTAATTAACCAGCTCGGGTACTTGTGACCCTTCTACAGACTTGGTGGTACTAACCATGGCATCTGGGAACGACTGAGGACAACTGGCATGGCAGTCACTGCTGATAGTGATTCCTTTTGGTCTAATTAATAACCCCTGCTCCACAAATGCTCAATGCTAGGAGGCTGCTATACAAGTGACAGCATGATTAAAATATACAGTCAAGTGTAGCAAATATCTTAAAATTATAACAATGAAATATTACAGTCACTTGCAATTATTTTGGGAACAACACAGATGGGTCGAACCAGTCTACTGAATGTGCACTTTAAATTTGGTGAGCTGTACTAGCTGTCAATTACATTTCAATAAACTTATTTTTTAAAACTGAAAATTGGAGGCTGAAGGTATAGCGTAAGAGGCTAAGGCACGTGCTTTGCAAGCAGTTGATCCTCCTCTGATTGGGAGCACTGCACGTGGTCACCTGACACTCCTCCAGGAGTGAGCCCAGAGCACAAAACCAGGAGGAAGATCTGAGCACTGCTGGGTGTGGCCCCCAAACAAACAAACCCCAAAACTAACAAACCTAATTTAAGTCAAATTTAACTCAAATGTTAGTTTCCAAAGGGCTAGAATGTTAGTTTCCAAAGTCCAGTGGGTTTACCTTGCGCGTGGCCGAACCCAGTTCAATTCCTTCCGCCCCTCCTGGAGAGCCTGGCAAGCTACCGAGAGTATCTGGCCCACACGGCAAAGCCTGGCAAGCTGCCCATGACATATTCGATATGCCAAACACAGTAACAACAAGTCTCACAATGGAGACGTTACTGGGCCCGTTCGAGTAAATCAACGAACAACAGGAGGACAGTGCAGTGCTACAGTTAGTTTCCAGAAGTGTTATATCCTAACTATTACTAACTGCCTTCAAGATGTCTATAATGTTAGGGAAATTTTTCAAAATGAGTCAGAGACAGATCAGCAGTAAAGCACTTGCCTTACATGGGTGAGACCCTGGGTCTGAGATCACACACACACACACACACACACACACACACACACACACACACACATTACAAAACAGAAGCCTTAATAAACTGTTACAGCAAAGTCATTATCATCTTAGATAAAGATAAACAAAATGATCTCTTGCCTTTCACTGTAACAGGAGTTAATCTGTATCACATATCAAATTTTGCCTTTAAGCTCTGAATGACATTTTTAAAGGGCACTTTTCAGATTTAACCATGAGGTTGAAAACTATAATTATGCTGTGTCACTAACATATCTCTCCTGTAGTTTTACCCCACAACTTTCTTCCCTATACGCCTCTGCAGGAAAACAAAAAACTCCTGTGTTTATCCGCTGGTACTAATTCTAATGGTTTCCCTCATCCTCTAATAATCACTGCTTCAGAGTGTTCTGGGTCCCTGTGTTAGGGGACACGCCACACCAAACCACTGCCATGCTCCTGAGAAACCCTGGAGAGCCTGGGGCAACTGAAGATACGAAAGCGCCTGCAGGCTCGCAGTGGGAGTCGCACTCACTGGCACCCCGCCACATCCCAACACACAGCGCACAAAAACTTTGGCGGCAGAAGAGCTGAGGCTTGACACAGCACGGACCTCCTGGGCACTGTCACCTAGAACAGTGTCCTTCAGCCTCCCGGACAACCCTATGCTAGTGCTGGTCCTCAGACCGGCATTCTAAGCAAGGAGTAGACTGGTGGTTTTCAAGCTTTCTACCCCTGGGGACCACCACTAACCTCACTGGTGATTAAAGAGCACTAAGGCTAGAGAGAACCACCCACCAGGATCAACCCCTGAAGGACCCAGGAAGAACCTGAGACATTAGCATCAACTAAGTCGCCCAAAGAGACTGGACAGACATGCAGGACAGATCAAGCTGACTGGGTGTGGGTTACCAGAAGACTGACCTTCTTCAAAGCCCCTGTCCACGGAGCTTCTGAGTTGTGGCGAGGCTTCTATCCAGGTTTCCTCTGCCTTGTCGCCCACCACTCCTACTCCCAAGTAGCACTGCACTGCACTGTCCTCCCCATTGTTCATCAATTTGCTCGAGCGGGCCCAGTAACATCTCCATTGTGAGACTGGTTGTTACTGTGTTTGGCATATCAAATACGCCACGGGGAGCTTGCCAGGCTTTGCCGTGAGGGCGAGATACTCTCGGTAGCTTGCCGGGCTCTCCAAGAGAGGTGGAGGAATCAAACCTGGTATCCCCTTAAAAGAAGGCCCTGGCTCTTCCAGCACATCCTCCCAGTCAAATTCTTTTCTTTTTAAACTTTTTTTTTTATTGATTGATTTTCTGTGATTTACAATACTGTAAATGATTTCAACAGGGGAAATCAACCTCAGTTTTGGGCTCTGGAAGAGACTCCCCCAGCCCCATAACATCTGGACTCAGAGAGATTATACAGGCGAGGTCTTGCACTCAGCCAACCCTACTTCCGTCCACAGCACCACATATGGTCTCCTGAGATCCTCCAGGAGCGATTCCTAAGCACAGAGTCCTGAGCATCAAGGGAATATCCCCCAAAAAATAAATAAATAAGACCACCTAGACACAATTTATAACAGGGTTGTTAAGTATCAAGGCTTCGCCATACCAGTAAGGAGTTCTCAGACACCAGAAGGATTTTCCCAAATCCAACTCAATTCTTCCTGCACAGTAAGGTCTCGGCTCACCGACCCTAGGCTAAGAGGGGAGGCGGGGAGATTGAGGACAAACCTTTCAGTAAGACTGTTCTCACAGGCAGCCAGTCCCCACTATCTTTTCTCAAAGCTGCCATCATCCACATAACAGAAGAGACTTTTAATATTCTCCACAGGAAGAAAATTGCAAAGTTCTGGAGGAAGACTTGGACCAGGAACTGTGGGTGAAAGCCAAATGGCCAATATTTAATCCCTGAAAATCATATTAACGCACCAAATTTTTATCTCCAGAATCTTTCTAACCTTTCCCATGACCTAATCTCTTCCTTAACTGATACTGCTACAAATGAAGCACTTGCCCTCCAGTTATGAGTGGGGCATTACTTCTGCCCATGGAGATATGAAGTGGGTCAAGATAATAAAAAGGGAGGCAGGGAGACAGTTCCAAGACTTGTAGTTAAAATCTTGTAAGTCTAAGACCAAAAGTTCCATCCCCTGAACAGTTCCTGGGCTAACCCTGGTGAACTGTAGGCACCAAATCACTAGGCCAAGCCGCGAACCATCGGGTCCATAATGTTCAAAGTGGCCTGGGGCCCCCAAGCATGGCTGGGGAGGCCTCACACAAAACAAAGAATGTAAGAAGCAGACTACTACGAGTTCTTTGAGAAAAAGACAGTGGTTGTTTCCACCCTTAGAACCACTCAACATTAAGTGGAGTATCTGGCATGCAAGAGGTGTTCAATAACTTGCCTAGCACTAATCTATAGCCCATTCACAAAAACCACCAGCCAACAGAGCAGAGTGATCATTCTCAGGCACATGTGTATTTGGAAGAGGCCCTCTTTCTTTTTGCTACTGTTGTTAAGATGCCCCAGAGTTGCACCCACTTGGCCGTGGGTTTGCACACTTTGTTGCAGTGCTGGAGGTCGAAAAGGCATCTTCAGCTCAACTTCATGACATCGAAATCAGCCCTCAACAATGACCAGGTAAATTTCTCAATGTCATCAGGTTACGGCCAAAGCTCAAAAACTCTGCGATTTTAAAATCACTGTTCTCTTCCTCCCCACCCCCCTTATAAATTGCCTTGGGAAGAAAAAAACAGATACAAAACCCAAGACCTGGGGACAAAATGATATTACAGCGGGTAGGGCAATGCTTTGCACAGAGCTGAGCTGGGTTCAACTCCCGGCACCCCATTCGGACCCCTGCGCATCACCAGGAGCAGGCCCTGAGCACCGCCGGCTAGGACCTCCCAAAGCCAAGAAAACGAGACACAAAATCCACGATCAATTCCCCATCCTATCGGTCTCTACTTCCAGTGGGTTATAATTCGGTAGATCAAAGATGGATTCTCGACAGTGTAGGGTTGGGAGCCGGGAAAGCTATACAAAGTAACCAATTTCTATAACCAATTCCTTCACTATACAGAGGAAGAGAGCTGTTATTGGCTGAGCACTTGGAACAGACAGCACCTGGGCCCCCTCGCGCCCCTTAGACGCGGCGTTCGCAGAGTAACTCTGAAGCATCCTTCTCCTCTGGGTACCGAAATCCACCTGGTTACAAAAGCTTCCCGGGCTATTCTTAGCCCGCGTCTCCCGCAGCCCCGGGGACGCGAAGAGAGAGAGCCTCCTCCCCGCGCTCACGGATGACCCCGGCTCCGAACGCCTAAGCGACAGGCCGGGCGCACCGGCTCGGGTCTCCGCCCGGTCCCCGTACCACCACCGGGACCCCCGGCCGCCGCGGGTCCGCGCGCGCGCGCGGCGCCCCCGAACCCCGGGGCCGGAAGCGGGACGCGCGCCTGCCGCAGACGCGCCGGGGAGCGCGGGGCTCGGCGGGACCTGCCAGCGGGGTGACAGCTGGCGACAGCTGCTCGCGGGGCTCGGAGAAAACGCCAGCGCCGGTCCCCAGACGGGGGGCCGGGGACATCCTCCCGGGCGCGCGGTACCGTGGGCCTAGCGGGAGCGGGGGGCGAGCGCTGCCCCCGCCGCAGCCCCGAGCCCGCGGGGGGCGAGCGGAGCCGGCCGGGCGCGAAGCGTGGCGGCGGCGGGGGCGGCATCTGCAGCCGCGGGAGCCCGTGACGCCCCGGCGCGAGCATCTCCCGGCCGCGGCCCCGCCCGCCATGTTCCCGGGAGCGCGTCCCCGGGCCCCGACCCCCGGCGGCGGCGCGGGGCCGAGCGGGCGCTGCGGGGCGGCGCGGGGCGCGCGGCCCGGCCCGGCCCGGCCCGCCGCCCTCCCGGCCCGGCCCGGCCCGCCGCCCCCCGGCCCGGCGCTCACCTTCGTGTACAGCTCGGACGCGGCCATGGCTCCGCCGCCGCAGAGGCTGCGCCTTGCCCGCCGCCGCCCGCGCCGAGGAGAGGGACCGGGGCGGGGCGTGCGGGCGCGCGGGCGGGCGGGGCGGACGCCGGGCGCGGCGCCTCAGGCGCGGGCGGAGCGCGGGGGCGCCGCCTTCGCTCCCGCCTCCCGCCGGCCGCCGCGAGCCCCCGGTTGCCCCGCAGCCGCCGCCGCCGCCGCCGCCGCCGCCGCCCTGTGCATTGTGGGACCGCGGGGGGCGGCGCGAGCCCGAGCCCGAGCCCCGCGCGCGACGCGCCCGCGCCCGAGCATCCCCGCCCGCCCGCGGGATCCGCGCCCTGAGCATCCCAGCATCCCCGCCGCCCCGCGGGACCCGCGCCCCGAGCATCCCCGCCCGCCAGCGGGACCCGCGCCCCGAGCATCCCAGCATCCCCGCTGCCCGCCCGTGGGACCCGCGCCCCGGGCATCCCCTCCCGCCCGCGAGACCCACGCCTCGAGCATCCCTTCCCGCCCTCGGGACCCGCGCCCCGAGCATCCCAGCATCCCCGCCGCCCACCCGAGGGACCCGCGCCCCGAGCATCCCCGCCCGCCCGCGGGACACGCGCCCCGAGCATCCCAGCCTCCCGCCCGCGGGACCCGCGCCCCGAGCATCCCCGTCCACCCGAGCTGCACCCGCGCCGCACCCCGCGACCCCCGCGAGCCAGGGCCGGAAGGCTCGCGGCTGGTGCCCGGGCTCCGGACGACAGGGTCCTGGCCGTGCGCGCATTTCTAGGGACACGCCCGAGGGACCGGGCGCCTTCGAGAAGGTCGCGGAATAACCCAGAACGCCCCGGCGGGCTTTTTCTCAGCCGGGAGCTCGGACGTAAAGCAGGCCCCCTCCCCGCAGGACACCGAGTCCCCCCGCCCCTGCGGGCCTGGAAACGGGGACCAACCCCGGCGGCCCGGGCTGCTCTGGCTCTTTCCTAGAACTGTGTCACTGCAAAGGCGCCCCCATACTTGGTTCCCAGCCTCTCCTGTACCCCACTGATGATTATGGGGTTCCTGGTGCCACCTGCGGATCTCCTCATGACCCCTGAAAATTACCGGGTGCCTTTGTGCAAAGTCTATACTGTAATTTAACAAAAAGGTCACAGGATTGTATCAAAAGGTCAAAGAAGCCTTAAATACAGCTTTCGAGGTGCACCCTACAAAGGTGGTCTTTCACCCGGACCCTTACTTCATCCCCTACCTCCTCCTAATCCACACTTTAACAACTTCCAAAGTCTCTCTTTCATACACACACTCCTCACACACAGACCACCCATATTTTGTGTGGTCACCTTGTCACTCAAACCTCACACATGCGCACACAAACACAACACCTGTATTTGAGTGTGATCCTTTCACTCTTGCTCTCACTCTCTTACACACACACCCTTTTAGTGTGTTTTTCTCTTTCATGTCTTTAGTTCGAAGGTCCCTGGGTAGCTTTTTATCCAGAGCATCATTCCTGCTGGCGAATCTGGTGTTTTTCTGAAAAGAATGCCATCACACAAGGCCAGTCCCTAAAACACAAGCTTCCTTCCCTTCGCTTACTGTCCGCAGTCTCCCACAGGGATGCCACAGGGAATGGCCACAGCATCCAAAGACCTGCAAAACCCTCTCTGCCTCTTCTAATTTTACAAACCTCTTCCATGGTTCTCAATTCCCCCCTTTCATGGCACAGATATGACTATCCTTATGATGGTGATGTCAGAGGCCTATCTTCCACTTCTTGCCATTTCTAAGGGAGTCTTACCCTTAAACAAGATCTAGGACTGTTGCAAGATGCAGAGGATACAAGGGGTTCGGGACAGGTGACCCCAGAGGATGTGACTTCAGAATACTGACTCTTTTGCAACAAGGACTCTTGTGAAACTGAAATACAAGGAAAATGCTCTAACATTTTTTTCTTTTTTTCTTAAAAGTCGGAGATTATAGTCCTATATGACAGATGTGCTCCTTATACAAGAAGGAAAGTAACAATTTTTTCAAGAGTTTCTTTTTTTTTTATTATTGTAGCTTAGGTGATATGTTTACAATAGATTAATTTTTATGGTTTTGATATATTTTTAACACGATTCACTATCATCAAAGTGCCTAAAACCCGGGTATGGTGCTGCCAGCAGGTCAACCTGTACCTGAGGGGCAAGTGCATCAGCAGCCTAATGGTACTGTCAGGCTTCTTGACACCCCAAACTTGCCACTGGCTGGATCTCAACACTTGGAATCAAGTTTCCCAAGAAATTAAACAGCTAAAAGTGGGAGTCACACCCACAAACCACCTCTGGCTCAGTTATACAAGATCATTCATTGACCTTATTTCAGAGACCTATAGATAAATCTCAAAAGAGATCAAAAGCTGGCCATTTAAGTGCATGAATGGCCATGATTCAGAGACTCACAAATGAATCTCAGAGGAGAACAGCACGTCATAGAGATGTCGCCCCAACTCACAACAGGCTGATTTCACGCGGGCACCTCAGAGGGGGGCAGATATGTCCCTCCACCTGCCCCAAATGAGCTCCAGCAGCTGCAAACCTTCAGAACCCAATCCAAGTTGGGTCCACCCACTGCTGACCTTCACAGGCTCTGTCCAAGCCCCCACGCATGAGAAAGAATCTGCTGAAAAATCCAGGTATGCAAGACCAGTGACTAAAAACTCCAGGCTTCATGGAGTTGTAGATAGGCGACTACCCCCATCTCCCCGCCCTTCCAGTTTTCTGGCAGTCACGTCCAAGAACTTACTCTGGGCACCACTTAAGCATATTAACAGCCATGATTCAGAGACTTGACCCAAAAAGGCAAGTCACTTTGCCTGGTGCTGTTATTGCTCATGTCCGTGAAGCAGCCCTGCATGCATGGGAGAGGATTGATGCAGACACGGAATTTAAGGGAAGTTTTACAAAAATTGTCCAGAGGGCCTCAGAACCTTATGCAGACCTCATAGGAAGGTTGATGGAAGCCATTGAAATGCAGGTTAAGGGGAAGGAAACTTAAGAGTATTTATCAAAACTGTTAGCCTTTGAAAACGCTAACGGGGATTGCCAGGCCATTCTGCTCCATATTAAGGAGAAGGAGGACATAATGGGGCACTTGAAAGCATGTCAAAATATTGGTTCTGTTAAACATAAGGTGCAGATGAAGCCTGTTGAGGTCTATGCCTTATAAGCTCAGAAAAGATGTTTTAATTGTGGAGAACCAGGCCACTTTCATAAAGATTGCTAGGCACCTCCTGATCGTGCTACTGAGAGAGCACCTCCTGGGCCTTGTCCCAGGTGTAAGAGGGGAAATCATTGGGCCAGAGACTGTTGCTTCAATTTTGATGCAGCTATTGACCCCAATTCGGGAAACGTTTAAGGGCACCAGCCACAGGTCCCACAATTTCAGAGGATGTTCCCAGCTGCAGCCCCTCTCCCCAGTGTGGAGTTTCAGAGCTCCAATCAGTACAATCGCTGCAGCCAGTGATGGCAGTCTTGGATATTTCCTGCCATGATACGGTTACTATAACCCCTGCCCAGTGTCACAAATTAAATTCCGGTATAAAGGGACCAATCTCACAAGGCACTGTAGGCGCTATTCTTAGGGAGAAGCAGTTTGACTTTTAAGAGAACACTGCGGCTTTAAGCCCACCACCTCTCCATATTCAGTGGATATATGGCATGTTAAATCAAAGACAAAAAAGGAAGCATTTTCTCAATTGAATGTAGCAGGGAAACTCCTCATTGGAGGAAAAGGCTATGCTTTTGTTTCAACCGATGATGACCACACTAGGAACTTTGGGTCCCATTACTTCCCATCAGAAGTCAAATTCATCCACCTGATTGGATCTCAGGCCGCCAGAGGCTTACAACCCTTCAAATTCCAGCCCCAAGCCATCGCCAGAATGATTTCAGCTGGAAGTCACAAGGGGAAAGAAGAGGAACCAGCGTCAGAGCATCTACAGCAAGGCCTCTAGCTCCTTTAACACATCATGAGTTCACATTAAAGCATTCCTTATACCTCTCTTTTTACAGGTGTGGATTGGACAAAGCCAGGACTCCATATTTTGAATTAATAATTTTTTGCCCTTTTCTTGGAATGAATTCACAGATGCCTCGGCTCCTGAAGAAGAGATGACTTTTAACAGGAATAACTTTTCTTTTTTCTCTAGGATGCCCATTTGTATTGGAGCTTCCCTCTGTCTTTTTCTCTACTCACAGGCATGGAGACCAAACCCTGATGGTCAAAGCCTCTGAAAACTTTTAAAAAGTGTTTTTCTCGAACATAAACTAGGTTGCACATCTATGACTGCTGATGATCCTGACCAGAGAATGGCTGCATTCCCCTACTGAAGTACTCCTGCCAGAAGTTGTGACGCTCTTGTTCCAGTGCTCCCCAACTGATCCAGTGCTTCCTGAAATTTATCAGACTACTAATAGCTGCTCCCCTGGGACTCATTGCTGCAACCACTACTGATGCTGTTACAGGAACAACTCTTCAGTTTTGATCCAGACACTTCATTTCTTCATAATGGGATTAAATGACTCTCATCATTGGAGACTCTCATCACTCCTGGACAGTGTAAGCCAATTGGACGCTTTACTACAAGCACTGCTCTGGGTCCAGGTTGGACTGAAATCTTACTACAACTAATGAGACTGTTTCGTATTTGGAATTGTTCTTCTGTTTCAAATTGTGTGTTTTTGTAAAAAGAAAAAGGGGGAGATGTAGGACAACACTGTTTTGTCCTTCCTGCATAGCCTCAGGTAGTTTAGGTTTATTGGGTTGCTCCCATCACAGTGCCCCCATTCCTCTGTGTTTATTTGTAACTTCTTTCTTTGTGCTCTGTTGACTTGCAAGTATTGTTTTTCTCTTCTCCCTAAGTCCTTTGCATAGTTTATTCAGAGCAATGTCCTTTTTGTATGGACATAAGAAGACAGTATAAGCTATGCTTTTGTTATGTGACTCTCAGTGATATCTTCCTCCTGGGCAACTGTTCTCTCATCTAAGCCTCAGCTGCCCTTTCTTCCTGGTGCCTTCAAGAGCAGGGTCCTGACAAGGGACTGGATGGAACCAGAGCAAGTGGTAAGCTACGTGCTACCCTGGCATCAAGATGGGCCTGGCCAAAGTGCCATAATGCTTAATTATAAGTTAAGAGCGTGGTCATGGACAAATGCTGTCATGATCCAAAAAGTAATAACTAGACCCTGCTAGGGTTAGGAATGATTAATCTGGACTGAGCGCTGTAGTCTGAGTCTGTGGCAAGATGTTCCCAGGAGAGCTGCCCTACAAGCCTCAATGTTATCTCTTACTGTGTCCATACAAAAATAACTAGTATTAAGATGTTGATAGAGTTATTGGACTGAGGAAAGGAGAAAAACACCTTAAGAGGTATCTGGGCTGGGGCAGTCAGAAAGGGCTTTGGAATACCTTTTAAGTGGTGTTCCCTTTGAACTTGGTGGCCCTCAGGAAGGGCTTTCTTATGTTGATTTTGCTACCTGACTGGGTTCAGTGTGGGTCAAGAGTGCTGGGCAGAGTTGGAGAGACAAGAGAGCTAGAGAGAGAGAGAGAGAGCAGGGTAGCATGATGGACCAGTGGAGAGACTAGCAAGGGGGACAGAGAGAGAAGAATGTAGAAGAATACAGGAGCAGGCACATGGGGAGAGAGAGAGAGAGAGAGAGAGAGAGAGAGAGAGAGAGAGAGAGAGAGACCAGGCTGCGAGATGGCGCTGAGAGATGAGTGGGAGAGACAGGAGAAGATGGGAATGAGAGG